CAATATCCCACAAGACAGGAGCAGAATTCAAAATGATCCGAACAATTTAAAGAGATGGGCCAAAACTAACAAAATGAAGTTCAACTGAGACAAATGCAAGATACTCCACTTCGGCTGAAAAAATGAAATGCAAAGATACAGAATGGGGGAGGCCTGGTTCAAGAGCAGTATGTGTTAAAAAGATCTTGAAGTCCTCATGGACAGGAAGTGTAACATGAGCCAATAATGTCATGCAGTGGCACAAAAAGCCAATGGGATTTTGGCCTGTATAAATAGGAGTCTGGTGTCTAGATCCAAGGAGGTCATGCTACCCCTCTATTCTGCCTTGGTCAGACCACAGCTGGAATGCTGTGTCCAATTCTGGGCACCACAATTGAAGGGAGATGTTGACAAGCTGGAATGTGTCCAGAGGAGAGCGACCAAAACAATCAAGGATCTGGAGAACAAGTCCTATGAGGAGTGATTTAAAGAGCTGGGCATGTTTAGCATTCAGAAGAGAAGGCTGAGAGGAGACATGATGGTCATGTATAAATATGTGAGGGGACGTCATAGGGAGAAGGGAGCAAACTTGTTTTCTGTGGCCCTGGAGACTAGGATGTGAAACAATGGCGTCAAACTACAGGAAAGGAGATTCCACCTGAACCTGAGTGTGAGAGGTGTTCAGCAGTGGAACTCTCTGCTCTGGAGTGTGGTGGAGGCTCCTTCTTTTGAGGTTTTAAGCAGAGGCTGAATGGCCGTCTGTCGGGGGTGCTTTGGATGCGATTTTCTTGCTTCTTGGCAGGGGGTTGAACTGGATGTCTCCTGAGGTCTCTTCCAACTCTATGATTCTATGATTCTAAATCTCTTGGGAAGACAGGCTGACAAATCTCCACTTTCAGGAAGAAGCAAAGACCACCAGCATTGGAGCCATTCTCCTCTGCCTGATCTGCATCTCCCAAAGCAGTTACAGTCCATCCCCAAGTTACAAACAAGCAACTAGTTAAGGACAAGTATGAGGGGCATTCAAATATTTCCCCTGACCCACTTCCTGTGAAGTGCGAGCAATGAAACTTGGCACAGTTATGAGTCCTTCTCTACATAAGTGCCAACTAGGAACAAACACTTCTCCCATCTTTGTAAGCAACTGTAAACAACTCACTTGTAGAAGTCAACAGGTTGCCCCAAAAGCCACGTTGTGACTTCTGAAATCAAAGTCTCAACATCTGAAACATGCTTGCCTTTCAAAAATAACTTCATTGTTGAAAAGAGGTGGAAGTCCGATGGTGCAAAGTCAAGTGAATAAGGGAGATGTGGTAGAATTTCAAAGCCACAGGAGCATGCTTCCATTTGGGCAACATGTGAGTTGTGAACTGGTGCATTGTCTTGCAGTAGCAGACACCTTTGGTGAGCATGCCATGTCTCTTGGTTTTGATGGCCTCCTGCAATTTCCACAGCAGTGAAGCATAGTAACCTTTGGTAGGAAATCCATCAATACTACTCTGTGTGCACTGACCTCCACACATTTAAAAAAAATCCATGCACAGGCGTCTTCCAAGGGAAAAAAAACCCAACAAAAGTCTCATGGCTATCAGCGAGTGGCAACGGGGGCAGGACTGTGAAATCTGGAAGCCCCTAGTCACAGACTGGCACATGGGCGGTGGGTACGGACTCAGTCGTTCTACCTCAAGGTCTGAGGCAGTTGAGTAGTTTGGCAGCTGTATCCATGAGTGAGCAGCCCTTTTGAGGACCCACTCTGCTCACCCCATATGGGGAAGGGGCTAGAAAAGATGCCCTAAACATAGTCTGCCTCTCCTATCCCTGATTGGACTGTCGCGTCCAAGGGGTCACCACCCTGTGGCCAAAAAAGAAAAATGAACTTAGGTACATGGAACGTACAGACACTGATGGACAACACTGACAGTGAATGCCCCGAACGCAGAACTGCCATTATTGCAAGGGAGTTGGGACGCTTTAACATCAACATAGCAGCCCTTCAGGAGACCCGGAGAGCAGGAGAGGGACAGCTGAAGGAAGAAAAAGGAGGCTACACCTTCTTCTGGAAGGGACTGTCTGAAGAAGACCAAAGAATGCACGGAGTTGGCTTTGCTATTAGAAATGATCTGGTGAAACATCTGACCGAAGCACCACTGGCATCAACGAACAACTCTCAATCCTCTGAATTGAACTTGCCAAAAACCAACAGGCAACCATCAGAAGTGCCTATGCACCAACACTAGATGCTGATGATGACATCAAGGAAAATTTTTACTGTCAGTTGGACACCCTCCTATCAGAGATACCAAAGGAGGACAAAATCATCCTCCTGGGGGACTTTAATGCAAGAGCCAGGGACCACAGGAAAAGACGGGGTTGGAAACAGCAACTCGAATGGCATCCTGCTTCTCAAAAAATGTGCGGAACACAACCTTGTCATCACCAACACACTCTTCCACCAGAAAACCAAGTTCAAGACATCATGGAAGCACCCCCGGTCAAAGCATAGGCACCTCTTAGAGTACGTAATCACACGGGCCAGGGACCACCGTGACGTGCTCCTCACAAGAGCCATGACAAGTGCTGATGACTGCTGGACTGACCACAGGCTAATCAGATCCACAATGGCTATCAAGATCGCCCCCAAGTGCAGACTCCAAGGAAGAAAGACAAGAGAAAAAAAGAACACCCAAGCCCTTCAGGAGCCCTCCAAATGAGCCCTTCTCCAAACAGTACTCAAGGACCATCTACCCATAGCACACCCCGAAAATGTTGAGGAACAACATTGAAACAAACTGAAGACCTCCATCATCACAGCCTGTGAAGAAACTATTGGATATCAAACCAAAAAACATCAAGATTGGTTTGACGAAAATGACAATGAGATCCAACAGCTAATTGACAAGAAAAGGAAAGCCTTCCAAACATGGCAGAGAGACATCAACTGTGCTGCTAAGAAAAAGATCTACGCCAGTGCAAAAGCTGAGGTCCAAAGAAGGACCAGAGAACTCAAGAACATCTGGTGGACAAAGAAGGCTGAAGAAATTCAACACCTGGCAGATACCCCATGATGCTCAGGGATTTTTCAAAGCCACAAAGGTCATCTATGGACCAAGAAACCATGGCATACAGCCTCTACGCTCATCAGATGGAACCAAACTTCTGAAGGACAAAAAATCAATTGCACTACGTTGGAAAGAACACTACCAAAGCCTCCTGAATCGCAGCTCCAATGTGGCCGAAGAGGTTCTCTCACAAATCCCGCAACAACAAACCAGGGATGAGCTTGCAGCACTGCCTAGTTTGGAAGAAGTCAGCAATGCCATCAGCCAACAAAAAAATAACAAAGCCAGCGGACCTGATGGGATCTCTGCTGAAATCTTTAAAGAGGGTGGACTTGAGTTGACACACCAACTCCACCAGCTCATTGAAAAAGTGTGGGTGACTGAGAAAATCCCAGCAGATTTCAAGGATGCCATCATCATCACCCTCTTCAAAAAAGGGGAAAGAACAGACTGCGGAAACTATCGAGGTATCTCCCTTCTAACCTCAGCTGGGAAAATCCTCGCAAGAATCCTTGCAAACCACCTTCTACCCTTCTCAGAAAACACCTTCCCAGAATCCCAGAACGGCTTCAGCCCCTCCAGAGGAACAGTGGACATGATCTTCACTGCACGACAACTCCAAGAAAAATGCAGGGAACAAAATCAACCTCTGTACATGGCATTCATTGACCATGTAAAGGCATTTGACACAGTGAATCGCAGCGCTCTCTGGACCATCCTCCAAAAAATTGGGTCCCCAAACAAATTTGTGAACATCCTGCGGCTCCTCCATGATGCGTGCTGGAAGAAGCAAAGACCACTACCATTGAAGCGATGGTCCTCCGCCATCAACTCCGCTGGAATGGCCATGTTGTCCGGATGCCCGACCACCATCTCCCAAATCAGTTGCTCTACTCTGAACTCAAGAACAGAAAACAGAATGTTGGAGGACAGCAAAAGAGATTTAAAGATGGACTCAAAACTAACCTTAAAAACTCTGCCATAGACACTGAGAACTGGGAAGCCCTGGCCCTTGAGCGCTCCAGTTGGCAGTCAGCTGTGACCAGCAGTGCTGCAGAATTTGAAGAGGCACGAATGGAGGGTGAAAGAGAGAAACGTGCCAAGAGGAAGGCGCGTCAAGCCAACCCTGACCAGGACCGCCTCCCACCTGGAAACCGATGCCCTCAGTGTGGGAGAAGATGCAGATCAAGAATAGGGCTCCACAGCCACCTACGGATCCACCCCCAGGTTACCACTCTTGGAGGACCATCATCCTTGGACTACGAGGGATCACCTAAGTAAGTACCAGGAATTGCTTCTGCTAGTTTGTAACCCGAGCTCAAATTAACCTCCATATAGTGGAGCATCTCTACAAGGCTTGACAGAGCAGCCTAAGGAAACCAGGCAGGAGAAGAACAGAACTACACTTTTATTCAGCTAGCCATCATAAAGCAGCTCTGCTCATGAACTCTGAAACAAAGGCAAGCCTATCCTGAAAGAATCAGGCAAACTGGATGACCAAGACTCTTTCATGGTAGAGCCCAATGAGTTATTATGATTCTGAAGGCTCCAAAATTACCAGGCCAACCACCACAAAATATTAAGTAGTCTAAAGTGAACCCTAGAATCCAGTTCTGAAACAGTTACGAGCAGCAATGTTGCACAAAAATATCCCCAAATAATTTGTAGGGTTGTGGGGAGCATAACTACCATGTTTGGGCTTCTTAGAGGTCAGATGAAATCTGTGGTATATTAAAATTGTCCTCCAGGACTTTCCCAAGGAGAGGCCTTTTCTGAAAAAGAATGTGAGCAGAAAGTTACTTTTTTCGCTCACCCATCTCCCAAGTTGGCCAACTGCCTCTCGGAATGCCAGAACCATTGACTGACAGGGCCTAACAGAACCTGGTATAACTGACTTTTTTACGACGAGCTCTGATACCCCACGCTATAATGGATGAAACCGAAAAGAGGGAAAAGATGGCCATGTTTTTGACCAAGTCTGGCACCTACTTGGCTATATTAGTGAAGCTCTGGCTGCTCTCAAGCAACGTGAAAGTCTGTGCCTGGCCCTGCAGCACTGATAGACTAGTTCATTCAGCTGCGTCTTTTGATGTGCTACACGTACGAATAAGCCCTCCATCTGGTGAGCACCTTAGTTATGTTGACAAAGATCCAATCTTAATACCACACCCATGTGGAAAGAGATTTCCATCAGGGATTCCCCCAAGTTTATACCTTGGGGAAAAGGTTTTTCTCAGTTTTGACAGATTTGAAAGCAGCCAACAGCCACTACTTATTCCATCAGTCTTAACAACTCCACCAGCCCTAGTTAGTGCTGCTGTCTTTGTCCAAACAGACAGGCTCCTGCTAGTGGTAAACGGGATGATTTATCTTTACTTCTTTAAGAAACTGAATTTATGGTCAAAGGCAAAAGGGATTAAAGATCCAGTTACTGACCTCTCAAACTATGACTGTTGCTTTGCTCCAAAAGATCCGGTCTGCTATGATATCAGTAAAATTGTTCTGGCCTATGACACAGGCGATTTGGCCAACACCAGGCAGATCTTCTACTCCGAAGATGGTGGTTATGCATTTAAGCCTATAAAAAGTAGGCCACATTACGATGGCTCACTAATTCGTGTATACTATTTTGCTTCCTCCTCAGATGTTGGAATGCTTGTTAATAGGACTATAGATAATGCAACTTTGACGTATTTCACATATGGAGACGTAGACTATGTGATCGAGGAAACAGGAACACCATTTGTTTTAAATCTACACCATGATGACAAAATCCTAAGCATACTTCCTCCTGGGCTAAGAGGTTTTATCATACTTTGGAGCCATGACCACTTTATGAGCTCCTCCAACAATGGGCTGACAACAGAAGCAGTCACAGTACTTCCCACACATGATTATCCTAACACCAGTTTCCCTACACATGATGAAGGTGTATGTTTTGTGACTGCCAGCAGTTCTGAAGTTGCAGCCATCACCAAGAATCGGCTTTTCTATGGAAGCTTGGACATGGTCTCCAGCCAGATGGTACTTCTTGGGGAAAGCAACTTCTCCACGCCAGCTGACCCTTGTGAAGTGATGATGTTTGAACAGAGTGGGACACTTAGTATCATACACCCCATTCCCAGCAATGTATCTGATTATTATAACTTCCATAAATGTACTATCAATATACAAGCCAGGCTCATGGATTTGAGCCCACCAATGATGCCTTGCCCAATAGAGGTTCTTTATGCAGAATTTAATGATCGTATGTTTTATATTGATATAGCAGATCAGCTTTCTTTTAATGTCACATTTGTCCCCAAGCCAGGCACTGGGGCACATCCTTATGTGACTATGGGCAATCCAGACGTGCTGGCCTTCCGGGCACACATTGTACAAGAAGGCTATACCTATGACGGAAACCCTAAATATGTCTTACATATAAAACTGCATGAGCAAAAGTTTGGGGAAATGTCTTATGAAGAGTATCAAGATCGTCATCTCACAGGCAAGGTATCTACTGTCACTGTGGATGTCTACAACAAAGGCATATTCTGTGTTGATATGCACCCACTGACGGCTCTTATTGCTGTTGAATGTCCGCCAACAAAACACATCAGAATTGCTAAGTCTGTAACAGCATGCAGCAAGGACCTCTTCAAGCCACGCCTGATGCAAAATTTTAGTTATGTAATTGATGGAGATTTCTATGATCCGCTTTTACTTGGCAGAAAAGATATGAGATGGAGGGACCTCTCTGTTAATTATAAATATGAGGAATGGGAATGTCCTCTTCTCCTATATTATGACAGTCCATGGATTCCAAGTCTTGAGCTGTGGGAAAATGATGTATTTGTGGAATATGTATCTGCTGATTTTGTACTCATCGAAATCAATGGAATGCATAATTATGATTATCTCTTGAATGAAGTAGAGGCACATTGTCTGTCAGCAGCTCAGAACTGGAGCTCTCAGATACTATGGGATTCTTTGATGCAGCCACTTACTGCTTGGAGCAGATATAATTATCGCAGTTGCAAGATACACAAAGGAAATCATTCATTACCATCCACTGACTTGAAGTATCAAGTTCTAAACATGAATGAGGATAACAGAGTAATATTTCCACAGTACAATGGCATTTATGTCTTCAGAGTAGTTGTTGTGGATCCACGCTACAGCTACTGTAACCTAAACACAACTATCAGTGTGTATGTTCATGGTGCCCTCCCAAAGTCTGAGATCAATGCTGTCAAAACACTGGTTAGCTTTCTGGTTCTGATATTTGGCTGCATCTTGATGGCATACTACTTTCCTAAATTAATGAAGGAAAATGCAAGGATGAAATCTGTTTGGGACTAATGCTTTATCTTGCTGCCCCAAGTTCAAAGAAGCTGACACCAAGAAAGATTTCCAGTTTTATAATACCACTAATTAAACTTATCTGAGTAGCTAGCGAATGTATTTAGGGTTAGTTTTCATAATACTGATTTTATTAACTCAATAGTTATTGGATTTTAACAAATTATTTGGCTGTAGTCATGCACATTTCACTGCAGGAATATGTGAACTGGCTGTGGCAGGGAGTCCTGTTTTCAGTACCAATCCTTCAATTTCACAATCAAAATATATCCTTCTGCTATGGTCCCTTTTATTAGATAATTTCTCCTTTTCTCACCCACTTTGGGAGGAGGGGTCTGATTCCCCCAAAATGTCAAAGTACCTTTGACAGTTGTCTGTAAGCATTCTGCTATTATGTTAGTGGGCAGACATGTTCCCTCTTACTGGTTCCAATTTCAGACACATGCTTATGCTTCAATAGCAAATAGAATACAATAGCAAAGAAGAGTGCTCTGGTCCAAATAAGGAAAGCACATGTGTGCACACACAAGACTTGTGCATATTGATTGTTAGCTGAATGTAGACATTTTAGCCATTACTTCTTTAATCCAATTTCTTGTTCAGTGTATCGTTAGTAGCAATAATCAAGCTGCCATAACAGGTCCCACCCCAATACTCCTCTTCTACCATAAAAATACCATGAAAATAATGCCAGCTTGCCATTCCATTACAAGTATCCTGCTCTGGAGTACAGATAATTATTGCAAAAGAGCTGTACTCAGTAAGGCTGGAAGGAATAAACTCTCACACTACTTATACCAGCACTAACCACCAGGTATTAATAAACACCTTAATCTCTTCCAGGATTTGATAAAAAAAATATGAAAAACATCAGTACAGGAAATACGGTGCACATTTTATTCTATTTACAGCACATTTGTTATAAATATACATTTCTTGAAAAGCTTAATTAACTGGTATTTTTAACAGATTAATTAAATTGTTATAGTTACATAATAAAGTGAACGTGTCTAAATGAACAACATTTCATGTTAGTGAAATAGTGCATTTTGTACTGAGATGAATGAGAAAATATCCAGACTGGTTTCAAAACTTTTAGAATATTACATACTGGATGTAGTTGCCAAGGAGAACTGGTTATCAGTACAGGATAAACACAGCCTCAACTTTACCTTTAAAGAAGTGATAATGAATAACTGGATAGATTTGTTGTTCATATCCTACAGAACTTCATGAAAATAACATAATTAAGAATGTTGGCCTGAACCCTCTCCCATGACAACCCTCTCCCATGACAACAAAGTCTTTCTCTTGAATTGCCTCCTCCACAAATATTAAGACATGCTCAACATTTTCACAGCTGCAAGACTGCATTGGAAATAGGGGTTAAGTATACAAGAATTTTCAATTTTGGTTCTAGGGGTCTTAAATTTGTCTCAATATTTCATATTAACTTAAGAAATATTTTAAAGATATCAGTTTTCAGTCCAATATGCCTGGAATTATGAAATAGAAGTAGACAAGCAATCATAATTTATTTGCATTTTATCAACATCTTTTAACAGGCTCTATGCCAAGGCTACAGACTGAAAGAACCCCAGTTATCAACAACATTCATATCCTTTTTGATTTTTAAAATCAGTTTTTGTTGATGATTATCAGTGCTGGCATTGAGTTCTGTTGGCTTGTTTCAAACAAAGTAACTTGATCTGAAAGCTTGGCAAACACCCTTGGAGTTCCAAGATTATAAACTCCTGTATGAGCAAAACAGGCCTTTAACTGCAGACTAGATACTTCCTGGCTTTTCACCTGAAGTCTGTATTGTGTTTTCCCAAGCCAGGTAAAGGAACCTGGATTTTCAAGTATTTCTGCACTGGAAAAAAAAAAAACACAAACATGTCACATTTTGATTTCTTGGCTGAAAAGGATTATAAACCCACGAAACAGACAAAAGGACAATACCTAGAAATCAAAAACACAATGAAAGTAAAATAAAGCCAATACAATTACACTAGTGTACTGCTTTATTTTACAGTGCCTATAAGAAATTTCATTATAGGGACATGTTAAAAATGGTTTCAATATATTTGATTACAGGATGAAATTGTTCTATAAGCCTCATTGTTTTGAACAGACAATACTTACTATGTTATATGGTAATAATAAAAGTTATTAATTTTGCATGATTATACATTCCTACATGTAAATTACTCAAGTTGTTTCGATTACACAAAGGTGATCACTATGTGGAACCACATTTCCTACTATGTTCTACTTTTCTGGTGTAGATCTCTAGCACTCTAGCAATTTTAAAAATTGGTGCATTACTGAGGAGAACCATATTGTTCATTATTTGAGTAGTGGTATAATGTCTTTATGGATAGTTTTAATAATATCAATTTTATTAACGGAAGAGCTATTGAACAGAATGCAAGAATCAATCTAGACACAATCTCCCAAAGCTATGGAATGAGACAGAACTGATTTTATTTGGATTTCATCTAATATAAATATTTCTCTGAGGTATTCCTACTGAAGTTAATACAAAACTGTAAAAAGAGTATTCCAAGACAAACATTAAACTGTTTGCTTGTTTAATTTACAATGTCATTCCAACAAATTTTCTCAAATGAGCACCATTTTAAGTAAGGTAAATAAATAAATAAATAAATTTTTGTCCCATATCTCCTCTCACACTGTAACACTATTATTGGCCATTATAATGGTTTTTAACAGAGCTCCCGGTGGCGCAATGGGTTAAACCCTTGAGCCAGCAGGACTGCTGACCAATAGGTCAGTGGTTCGAATCTGGGGTCAGCGGGTTGAGCTCCCTCTGTTAGCTCCAGCTCCCCATGCAAGGATATGAGAGAAGTCTCCCACAAGGATGGTAAAACATCAAACATCTGGTATCCCCTGGGCAACATCCTTACAGATGGCGAATTCTCTCTCACCAAAAGCGACTTGCAGTTTCTCAGGTCACTCCTGACATGGAAAAAATACACTAAAATTCAAGACAGTGTACAGGCAGTCTCCAAGTTACAAATATCTGACATCTGACTTTTCGTTACAAACAGGGGGGAGGGGGGAGCAGTAAGACAAAAGGAAGTGAGAAGAAATCTACCAGTACAAAGAGAAATTCACTCCTGAGTGAGTGGGAAAAGGTGTATACACTGAAGCTTTATCACCAATCCTTGTTTGTACAACCACCCCAATTTTCAAAATCCATTAGCCACAGTAACAGAAAGTGAGGTGAAATCTGAACAGAGGCACAGACAGCAAAACCAACATTACCAGGGTGTTAACACTTTCTTCAGCTGTCTAAAGCTAAAAAAAATTATTTTGGGCTGGAATCACACTTAAAATATGTACCTGTTACAAACAAATTCAACTTAAAAACAAAACTACAAAACCTATCTTGTTTGCAACCCAGCATGTGTCTGGATGTGTCATATTCCACACAAAAACAAATATACCAAGAATATGCCTATATGTGTTTCAGATCAATCCATAAAGACATCTCACACTTTCAGAAAGATGCCCATCCTTCTGCATGAATTATGTAGCAGCCCTTATCCTAATCTCACTGTTACATTGAGATGTAAAGAACATTTCCTGTTAACATTTTTCAACTAATTTCAATTAATCTTACCCAGGAATTAGTGGTTTGTGGAAATTTAAACACAAAAATGCTTCTACTTTAAATAGAGGTTGTATAATAAAAAATTGCTTTATGAACATAAAGATTCAACTTTCAAAAATTACCTTGTTGTTTTATGCCGCAAATCAATGATCACATCAACATCAGTCTGAGAGCAATTTGAAAGTAGAAGAGTAACTGGAACTACACAAAGGCTGTAAAAGAAAAGTTTTGTTAGAAATACTGCCCTCATGCATCTGACACTGGATGAGCTACAGAGAAAGCTATATAAATAATGAACTTCTATCAACACTGGATATATTTGAAACCATCCAAATATATAAAAAAATGTACTATATTTTCTCGCGTATAAGACGACTGGGCATATAAGACGACCCCCCAACTTTTACAGTTAAAATACAGAGTTTGGGATATACTTGCCATATAAGACCACCCCTCTTTCAACGCACACCAAATAAAAATTTAAAAAACATCAGATTTGATTTCAAATCCAAGACTATCAGAGTGGTAGCCAGCTCTTTGGCTTAGAAATGGAGATGAGCGCCAACCCCCAGGGTTGGACACAACTGGACTTAATGTCAGGGGAATACTTTTACCTTACCTAGAGTGATCCCAGGTTTGGGCCCAATGTCCTTTCCCAAACAACAGCAATAATAATAGAACCCTAGAGTTGGAAGAGACTCCAATGGTAGTCCCTTCCAACTCTGGTAGCACTGTCTGCCGCTCCTCCTCCTCGCCCCCTTCCTCCCTCTGCCCTCCTCCTTACCTCTTCCCTCCCTCCTCCACAGACTGCGCTGCTCAGGGATGCTGAGGGCAAGGGAGGCGAGGGAACCATGAGGGCTAAAACATCCTGGAGAACGGCGAGGTGCCACCTGGGATGCAAGGTTAGTAGGGACTGTCGGCAGATTCAGTTAATGGAGTGACGAAAGGCAATCTGACGGACTGTTACGCTGCTATACTCGGCATTTAAGATGACCCCCCCCCCATTTTTAGATTATTGTCTTGGTTTAGAAAGTAGTCTTGGAAAATATGGTACTTGTCTGGAAAACATTTCTATGGGATTTGGAGGGGGGATTATAGGAGGAGTGATATGCTGTCAGCATTTTGGTTGGTCAGGTTTCACCTGATTCTGAAAGGAGAGTTCACCTAGACATTTGCTGACATTACTCAACTGAACAAGTCAATGGTCTAGATCAGGGCTTCTTATACTTTTCCACTTGGCCTGAAAGAGTTCTACGTGATGTATATAGAGTAGGCATAAAAATCAAACATTTACTTAAAGTAAGTCAACATTTGCAAGCCTTGCTACACTGGTTCTGTTTCCTTTTTATGAAGTACAGCT